TTTCCTGCCTATGCAGGGGGTCAGACTCGAAGATCTATTGTGGTCCCTTCCGACCCTAACATCTATGAATCTATGAGTTTGGGATTGGAGTAGATGACCTCATGAGGTCCCTCCTAGCCCTACTTTCCTATGATCCAATCAAGAAGCTGTCTAATACAGTTCTCAAATAGATGAGGGAGGGGAAGCCCTTATATTTTTTTTTAGGGAAACTCTGTTACAGCCCTGATGGTCACAGTCATGGTTAAACTGATGTATAGCTAAAAAGGTTCTGATTTCAATCTGTACAGGATTGTTTTTCCCCCTCTCCCCTTCCCTACTTACGTTGGAGGCAGTCAGAATTGTTTAAGCAAGACTTTCCCCAGAAATATGTTTGCCTGAATAGAGAAGAACAGGTTTAATGACGGTAGAAATTTCAGGGATTTAGGGTAGCTCACAGCTGATGAAACAGTTTGTAACAGAAATGTAGATTTGGGAAAGCGCACTGAAATTCTACTAGCTCCTTTCTTTAAATTGTTTGAATTTTTTTAATCTATTATCTGCTACCACTGAACATAAAAGTATAGGAAAAAGAATGTTCTTATTATTAATGTATTTATTCTGTGAATTTGACAACAATGATGGGTGGATTAAAAAAACCAACAAACTCAGTAACTAGAAGCTTTCTTTGTTTTCACTAATTACCACTAGGCACTTCTGAAGTCTGGCCGTTAGTGGTGAGGTGACTCATAGTTTCACCATTTCCTTTGCCAGCCATTTTTTCTTTATTTGAATCTTTCATCCAACAAAATAAATTCTCAAAATAGCAAAATGTGATTTTAAAATCACAAAATTAGACGGGAAGACCGAAAGATGACGTATACCAGCAATTACTTAATTTCTTAAATTAGCTGGATTCATGGTATCCTTTATAAAAAAGTTTAGCCAATATACTTTTCTTCAGATGCAGACAGGTCTTTACAGTAGAGTTCTTGTACTTGCCTGATATGTCCAAACAATACATACAGATGTTTGGCATGTTCAAATGTTGTGCTGCTGCAGGGTTTGCTGGTATTTTGTGTTTGGAAGAAATAGAAGCTCTACAGACAATTTCATCACATCTGTCTTTGGTGCAATGAAAAATTAAGAATTATAGCACGTTAGATTAGCTTTGCCAGGGTGGAAGCTTTCCAAGTTGTAAATTAATGAAGAAACAATTAAGGGCAACAAGACAGTTAATGTGAGCCTGTGATATTTTTAAAATAGTACATTACCTGCAGAAAAAGCATCCATCTTTAGTGACAAGTCCTTCATGTCCTTTCTTC